AACATGGGAGCGAGACCTAACAAGCTCACCATGCTCCCAGGATCAAGTTCCAGGAGCTGTGGGTAGTTGCACAAGGTCCTGCCTTATCTATGCCCTGGCCAGCTGTATAATCTCACCTGCCTCAGCTTCCTTGAGCACCAGACACGCAAAATTGTTTGCCACAAAACACGGACTCACCTCTCTGACCTTTGCGCTTAGGCCATTGGCTTTAACTTAAATATTTTTTTGCTATCTTCCCAGCCTGGCCAACTCCCAGGGATTCTTAAGGACTACATTCAAACAACACCCTTTGCCTCAGCTGGATGAGTGGTCCCCTTTCTGTGGAGCTGGCTTCATGCCTGTGCTGATTTCAAGCATTTATCAAATTACACCATATTATGACATTTTACTTATTCTCCTCGAGAGTACTGGAAAAGAGTTACTTGCTTGTTTCATACAGAACTGATCAATAAGTCTTAGTGAATGAGATTGCAGTTATAAATGAACAGAGTATCTCTTTAAGAATGACATAGAGCCCTAGCTGTTTTTGCTCAGTGTATAGAGCGTCAGCCTGGGTTCAATTCTGATCAAAGGCACATGCCCTGGTTGTGGGCTCAGTCCCCAGTAGGTGGCATGCAGGAGGCAGCCAATCAATGATTCCTTCTCACCACTGATGTTTCTATCTCTATCTTCCTCTCCCTTCCTCTCTGAAATCAATTTAAAAAAAATACATTTTTTAAAGAACGAGATAGAGCATTCAATGAACTAGGTTAGGAGCCATAGTTCTTGCCCTGATACAATGTCTACAAGAGAAGAGGGGACACTTGCTTTTCTAGATTGGACACATTCTGAGGCAAGCTGGCATATCCCAGATTTAGCAGAGCCAGCTCACTCTGAGCTGCTGCAGTGTCATCCAAAGAAAAGAGGATGTTGTCCTTATTAACCATGAATGCCAGTTTTCCTGTCCAACCTGTTCTACCTGGTTAAAATGAAACTGCTATCCCGCCAGATGCAATCTCCTACTATAACTGTTTGATGCTTTAAAGAAACCAAGATGGATCATGTAAGGGGAGGGGAGAAACTGTGTGACTAATGTGATTTTTGTGATATCCTTTAGCTTCTGCAGTTCTGCACAATCCTGGTTCTCTTCTGCCTGAATTTCTAGAACCTGAGGCCCCAAAATAGCCTTATCTAGTCCAAATTTTTGGGTAGTTTCTCCGACTTCATCATCTTTGCCCTCTTCACCTGGAACTCAACTTCCTCCTAACTGCCCGATTTCTTCTTCAGCTTAATTCTTGACTTTCTGTTATGCCTATTAACTCATTCACTCATTCATTTACTATATATTTATTAAGTGCCTTTGTTGTTCCAGTCTCTGTTTTTTACCACGAGGTTACTGCAATGAACAAAGACAAACCAAGTGTCTCAATCACTTTCACAGACTAGGTGGGACCTTACTTATTCCTATGGCTTATTGCTATATGTTTATCTGAATTTTCAAGGGTCTGCTGGAGTTCCAGCCCCATATTCTGTCTCATGGTCATGTCTTACCTCAAATTCCACGTGCCTTGAGCTGAACTTGCCCTCTTCCTCTCCAAGCCAGTTTTTTCTCCTGACATCTCTGTTTTGTCAAAGGTATCTTCATTTCCCTGTCACCACGCACAAAATCTCAGAAACACCCAACTGCTTCCTTTTCCTCAGTCCCAGTGTCTGTCTATTCTTCCAGTTCTGTCTAGTATTTCTTCTGAATAAATGCTTTTCATGTCTGTCATTCCCTTTCCTTAGTCACTGCCATGTACTGAGTCCAAATTTCCATTTCAAGCCTGGACCATTGTGCTTTTTCATTGTGTATTCTCTCCATTCACTTCTTCCTCTACTCATTGCTGCCTAATTAAACTTAGGGTCCCCTAAGAGAGTACTATAAGTGTTACACAGACCAACTTCTATCTTTCTAACATACTTCTTTCAAAACTTCTTTCTAAAGTACTTGTTTTCCTACCATCACACTCCACAAACGTAATGCAATTTCAACTCATTGGTTTGGCTCTCAAAACCATCCATAATCTGCCCTTATCTCTCCCTCTCGGAGAATGGCCTTTCTAAACCTCCGCCTCCCCCTTGGGTATCCTTCCTCATTCCTCATTCCTCATCCCTCATCCCTAAGATTGAAACTTCTCCCCTTCTTCCCAGAAATGCATATTACAGCCCCATGTTCAGAACAGTGGTTTTTAGAATCAGACACACCCTGTTCTGCCAATCACAAGTTGTGAAAACTTGGGACCTGACAGCTCTAAATCACATGTTTCTTATTTTTTTTAAATGTGGGGGGATGTAGGTGTTGTATGTATTTGTGTGTGACTTTATTTCTTACACGTGATATTATTCATACTTTGTATGATCATTTGCCATGTTTTTCAAATCAGACTATAAACTCCTTGAGGTCAAGAACCACTTTTGTGCACCCTCTCAAATTGTTTAGCACAATGCTTTACATGTGATACTCTAACAAATATTCATTTATTTGTTGACCTCTAATGTGTACCTGGCACCATTTTAGGTGCTAGGGATGTAATGATGAGCACAGCATTATCCCCAAATAATTAATCTGATGACATTATTCAATTATCACGGTGTCTAGATTATGAAGAGCAGGTTCTCGGCTCTCTTGGAAGACATTAGAAAGCCTTGTCCAATCGGAGACTGTCACTTGTTGTCTGGACAACCTCAGGTGGCTCACTGAAACTCTCAGAGCCTCTCTCAATCTCTTATATGAAAAGATAATACTTGTCTTGCAGAATTGTAATAGAGATCTGTGAAAACACTGTATTAGCTGCTAAGTTCTATATAAATATCAGTTATTACTATTACCATATAACACACTATAGTAATTTAAGCTGAAACTGGAGCCATCATGAATAAAATACATTCAAGATTACTGTCACTGTCTTATTAAAAATAGCATCTTACTATCCAACGGTAACAGACACCTGATAAAAATGATCCTGCCTGCCGCAGTGTACTGGGTGAGCACCTCTGAGTAGGACTTTACATTGCCTAATTCCCCTGAGCTCCAGCGCTCTGAGGGGTGACTGCTCCCACCTCGGAGGGAACCCTGTGCCATGCATACAGCACACCTGCTGCTGCTGGAAATGAGGAAAGCTGTAGAACCACAAGCAGATCTAAACCATCCAACATAGCCTTCTAGGAATGCCCAAATCTCTCTCATCAAAGCCTCCCTGTGGTGGCCTGCTGGAGGTCAGGGGTAGGAGCGCCTGGCGGTACCGCCATCCAGGGGCAGCCATGTGATCAAAATCAACGTGCCTCTCAGACAAGGGTGTGTACTTCCATTCAGATTCCCGTGTCTCTCGTCTTTCCCAAAACTCAGGTCTCAGTTTCCTGCTTACAGGTCATCCCCAATCCTCAGCCGGCTTTTCAATGTGCCATGAGTCAGGCAGTGCTTCCTTCCCGCCTCACACGCCGCCATGTCCCAGGGCCTGTTGTTTCAACACATGTCACCTGTGGGTGATATCATCTGTTTACAAACAGCTTCCACAAATCACCTCCCACTGGGAATCAGAGAACCTCAGAGATGGGCGGAAGGGCCCCTCCCACCCAGAGCAGAACTTCCCTTCGGAGCCTCCCTGACAGGGGTCATTTGGCTTCAACTCTAACTATCCCCGGTGAATCAATGGACCTCACCTCTGTGCACATACCTTTGGTTGGGTGGATGCCATGACAGAGCCTCCCAGTCACTGGGTCACTGATGTATCAGTAGCCAAAGAAGCCAAGCTCCCATTTCCTAAGAGCCTGGGTGTGCCTGCTGAGGCCTGCGTGTAGACTATGACACTCTGAGTCTGATCATGGGCGTTGGAATCAGCCAGACCCCAATTGGAATCTCATCTCCCTCAATCGCCATTTGGGGGCCTTACACTTACACTAGCGCTGCGACTTGGGCCAACGCTATGAAACTCCTGGAACCCCGGTTTCCTCCCACATAAAACATAAGGGAATTGGTGTCTATAGTTAAGGTTATTGTGAGGACTAAATGAAACAATATATGTCAAGTGCTTAGCCTTGTGCCTGGAACAAAGTGAGTTGTGCTCTAAGCTGTTGTTACTATTATTGTCACAGTTATTATTGTCCCTTCTCTCTTGAACCAGCACACATGGATGCAGAGGAGCTCATTTTCCATGTTTCCTCTCTCCTGATGTTTCTGACCCACTCAGGATGACCCCACACACACACACACACACATACCACTAGCATCACAATCACCCCCTCTAGAGAATGACACCCCCATGTTTCTGAGTGTGGCACGTCAGACCCCACAGAGTCCTGGAAGCCCCTGGCTCCTGATCAGCCTCCACTGCAGGGATGAGACCTGGGGAGGGAGCCTGCAGTCTCCTGGAAGGCTCAGCTTAGGAGTTTCCTTACCCAGCATGCACAGCAGAGGGTCCATGATCCTTTGTGGCCAAAACAAACAAAAATCTCCGCTAACCTGGTTCCGAAGCCAAGAGCTGCAGATCCAAACCTTTGCCGCACAGCTGCCTGGCCCAGGGGACCGGAGGGTGGGCATGAGTCTGGGAGGGGTTTACAGAGGACCAAGCAGAGCTGTTAGGGGCATAAACCTGCAATCAGGCAGCCAGGATTCCACGCACCACCTGGGTGACTCGGAGCCAGTTACCTGAACTCAGTTTTTCTTCTATAAAAAAGGAACTACAAGCACCTACCTCTCCGAGTTACTGTGAGAGTTAAATGAGAGGATGCGTGTCCCACTGAGTTCTTAGGACGCTGCCTGGCTCCATATGCAATTTCTGCTCTCATTATGAAGTGCCAGCGATCCGCTCTTGTTCAGGCAGGAATTTCAGGGTCCCTGCCTTTTACAAAAATGCCACGCCAGGGCTGAGCGGTAGTGGACGGTGTAACAGAACACAGTAAATACCCAAACGAAAGAACAAATAGGAATGTGTGTGGGTTCTCAGGAGGTAGCTTTATTATGACCTGTCTTTAAGAGAATCAAATCAGTAGGCATTTATTGAGCACCTACTGTGTGGTAGCCTATGCAGACAGCAGAGTGCAGTGTCCATGCAGGCAGTAGAGTCCACCGTGGCTCTCAGGGTCCCAGGCAGGAAAATCACGCATTCGGGAAGTTTTGTGGGTCCGAGAACAGGGTGGATTCCTGGACATCCAGGTGCAGAGAGCTTGATGGGGGCCTGGGACGAAGGGGAGCCCCAGGCCGGAATTCCACAGAGCGAGAGGAGGCGGAGGCGGGGTGGCTGCCCAGGCGGCGGGCCGCTCTCTGATTGGCGGGTGGCTCTGGAGAGGCTGCTCCGGGGCCTCCGGGGCCTCAGCAGCCGCCGCAGCAGCCGGGACTCTGGGTGTTGCTGGAGCACTGAGACCTTCGGCTGCCCCCGCAGCACCCGCACCCGCTCCCGCGCTGCCGCCGGCGCCGCAGGGGGAAGCAGCAGCAGCTGGAGGAGCCCGAGCCGCAGCAGCCCGAGTCCCCGCAGCATCCGGAGCCGGAGCCCGAACCGCAGCATCCGGAGCCCGAACCGCAGCATCCCGAGCCGGAGCCGCAGCATCCGGAGCTGCCGCAGCCGCCGCAGCAGGAGGAGGAGGCCCGGGAGGGCACCGGGGCGGGGCACGGGGCGGAGCCCGAGGCGGAGCCCTGGGAAGACCCTTTGGAGAAGCCTTTGGCGCTCTGCTGGGAGGACATCGCGAAGCTGTGACCGTGAACCTGCAAGAAAAGCAGGTTGTGTCACACGCGAGCAGACTTTTATTTTTTCCAGCGGTGGGACTTGGGGCGTCTGAGATTTGGCTTTGGGATAAAGCCAACCTGGTTTGCTGGGCAAAGACTCAAACCACCCCCCCCATGCAGGCGTTTCCCGCGAGTTCAAGTGCATAGAGCGAGTAACAGTCCGTGGATGGGTTTCCATTTCCTGGGACCAGATAAGGAGCGCCCAGGGTTCCCCAAAGCGGACAAAGAAGTGGATATCGAGGCAATTTATCTGTATGCCCCAACCCAAAATCTTCTCCTGGCTCTCCTCCCCTCCCCCATCTCACTGTGGCCAGAGACCTTCAAGTGATGTTCCTGTGGTCATCGGCCTTGTGTAAACGCCACGTAAGTCAGTTAGAACTTGCCCACATGACACCTGCATCCCTCACACGGGGCTACAGAATCCACAGAGGCCAGAGGCATGATCTGGTCATGCTTTCCTGCCTGCACCCCTCCTTCCCCAAAACCACAGGAAGAGGAGAGCGATGCTGAGTTGGGAAATGCATCCCAGTCCAAGGGGCCAAAGATCTGGGCTCTAGTCACATCTCTGCTAAAGACTCGCCGTGTAACCTTGCCACTGCCCCCCACACACACACACAGTCTGGCCTCCGGGTCTCCTTTGGCGCCATGAGAGGCTGCCTCACTTGAAGTTTAAGGCACTTTTCAGGCCTCTCCTTCTGCCTCCACCCGCTGGCTGTGTTCCTACTCCCATTTTCCCACCCTTCTCCCCAGGCCGCGTTTGAAGACTTACCAGACCCTCACTCCACTGGAAGACACTCAGTTCTCCAACAGGCTGTGGACTGAGCGGAGTCCAGCCAGAGAACCTTATATAAGATCTAATAGCACCAGCTCTTGGGAGGGGCCCATTTCCCAATAGACGTGCTCAGCTGACACTCACATCCCAGAGACATTTGTCACTCAGGTAACACTTGTAGGTGGTGCACGTGGCTGTTCAAGTCACCACCTAGAAGTGCCAGGATGCTGTGGCATGTTTCCTTTCCAAACAGGGCACTGTTCATAGCTGGGAGGGCTGTGTGGGTGAAGGCAAAGCTGGGGGCTCGAGGGAGCCCTTTCTTGGGACCTAGTCTCTTTGTCCTTTTCTGCGACGTGTACACACACACACGCTCTTCCCCTGCTCACACATCATCCCCCTGGAGTCACCTTCTTGGCAGTTCATTCACTTGTTCTTGGTTTGCTTCGCTCTGGTTCTTGGTCCTTGGCTCCTCGAGTCGGGCTACAAGCTATGCAAAAGGCCTCCTGCGCTCTACAGATGCTTCCACTTGCTTCTTGATTGGATTGGGTAAAGGCAATGGTGGGGATGTACCTATGGGAAACCCAGTGGCGATTTCTCTCTGTTACTAGGACAGGAAGAAAGACTCCGTAGTTATGGAACCATGAATACCAGAATATAGTCATGTTAGCATATCCCCATCAGCCCCGGTGAGCCTAAGAGAAAAATATGTGCAGGATGCTGGTCCAGTTGCATACCAGGTCAGCTTACGGGACCCTCTGCTCCTTACCCCATCCCCCAACTCCCTTTGGAGATGAGTGCTCCCTAGGGCCACTGCCCAATGGAAAAGGGAGGAAAGGAGAAAGGGGAAGAAGGGAAGGAGCAACGGAAGGGAAGAAGGAAGGGAAAAAGCCAGGAAGGAAGCCACCAATCTTTCCCAAGGTCCAAATTATCCATGGTGTTTTAGAATAACTCATTTTGAAGAATTAGGAGAGACTTTAGAGGTCAATTGGTTTCAAAACTGCTTCTTAATCAAAGCAGCTGCCCACTACCATGAATGTGAGATAAAAGGAACCTAAGGCTAAAAACCCAAGAGTTGATGGTGAGGCATAGGTTTGGGGGTGAGTGAACTGGGAAGGGCATGAGGAAAGGTAAGTCATGAATGATACCAGTTTCATTGAACGTGGCTTTAGAGCCTGATTAACAGGATGCATGTTCCTAGGGTCACCTGCTGGTGAGTCCAGGTGAGACATTCCAACAGGTGAGGTCAGTATTAGAACAGAGAAGGAAGTAATGAAGCACCAAGACAGAGACAGGGTCTCCTCTGGGCAAGTGCGTGCTCATTCATGGACTTGCTATGACCTCATACTCTAACTTACTTTGCCGATTACCGTTGACTTTTATCCAAGATGGGACTAGTTGTTCATCTTCTATATAAAGTGCTGATTCGAAATGATCATTTCTATCGCACACATTCTATGTATCTCCTGGAGGAATCAGCCTATTCTTAAAGGAAATAGAAAACCCAATACAGCCGAGACCGGTTTGGCTCAATGGATAGAGCGTCAGCTTGGGGACTGAAGGGTCCCGGGTTCGATTCCGGTCAAGGGCATGTACCTCAATTGTGGGCATATCCCCAGTAGGGGGTGTGCAAGAGGCAGCTGATCGATGACTCTCTCTCATCGATGTTTCTAACTCTCTATCTCTCTCCCTTCCTCTCTATACAAAATCAATAAAAATATATTTTTTAAAAGTTTAAAAAATAAATAAATAAATAAATAAACCCAATACAGTCACCAAAGCCTCCCTGCTCTCACCTCCCTAATCCCCCACCCTCCCACCCCCACCCAAACCACGTGGAGGAGAGTGTCCTTCTTGGTTCTCTTCTCTGACCCAAGCTCAGGCTTTCAGGATCCAGGAAAAATGGGCTCAGACATTTCATTCCTGCCTCCTAAATGCACAACCCCCGGAAACGAGTCATTGATGGGAGCACTGGGGATTTTTAACGGAAAAGTAAAGGTGTCCATTCATTGGAGCCAAAAATGAGTTCTTTAGGGGATCTGATTCCCCACCACTAAGAGGTACTTGAAGAAGAACTTCCCAGAGCAAGTCCTCCCCCCATGACCTCCCTCCTCTCTGAAAGCCTGTTCCCGGCTCTCCCCGTGCCAGGCTGGGGTCAGGATCATGCTCTCAGACATGACTTCAGGAAACCCAGTGGCGATTTCTCTCTGTTACTAGGACAGAAAGAAAGACTTCAAGTTTCCTCACTCAGAGCATGAAGGGGAATGGTGTTGCCCAGAGATCAAAGTAGCTTCAGTGCCAAAGTCGGTTTTTAAAGGGTTCACTTACACTTAGAAGAAGGAAAGGGGAGATGGCACAATGCAGGGGGTGGGGCTTGGGACAGGCGAATAAAACAATTGGTGACATCAGGAATAAAAAGGCAGTGACATCAAGAATAAAGAGGTTTATTGATACAAAAACTCACACACACACACACACATACACACACACACACACACACACACAAAGCTTCATAACTGAACTGCGTCCGAGAGGAGGATCAAACCAGTGAATATCCAAGGTTAGACCTCTAGACCTCACAGTGGGATGAACCTGGGCAGCAGGAGGAGAGGGGAACGCAAAGCATTTCAGAAGCCCTTGCATGGGGACCGGGGACAAGAGAAGTCTCAGGCTGGGCAGTCGTGGGCACTTTGGCTCCTCCAATGCTGCTCCTCCGTGCTACTCATGGCCTGGGTCAACAGCAGCTGGAGCCCCCAGAAGAGCAGCCGGAGCCCCCAGAGCAGCAGCCGGAGCCCCCAGAAGAGCAGCTGGAGCTCCCAGAAGAGCAGCCGGAGCCCCCAGAGCAGCAGCCGGAGCCCCCAGAGCAGCAGCCGGAGCCCCCAGGACTGTGGCAGCAGCTGGAGCCTCCAGAATGGTGGCCACTGCCACTGCCACAGCAGTCAGGGTGGAGGTATCGGCGTCGAATAGTTCGGCGTCGGAAAGATCGGTGGGGCTTGCGGTGGATCAGGCAGCAACTGCCACCCCCAAAGCCACAACAGCAGCCAACCCCAGAGCTACAGCAGTCCCCACCCCCAGAGCTACAGCAGCCCCCAGAGCTGGGGCCACAGCAGGAGGAGACTGGAGGTGGGCAGGGGGCTGGACACTTGGGGGGACACTTGGGTGGGCATTTGGGGGGACACTTGGGAAGGGGCTGGCACTGCTGCTGACTTTGTTGACAGGACATCTCAGCAGAAGCTAAAAGACAATACAGAAATTTTAAGTTCAGCTAGCTCAAGGTAACTCCTTGACATTTAACATTGAACTTTGAGTTCACATGATTTAATCTTTATACTGATCAGATTTTTAAAACCCTATCTCCCAAAATCAATGACAAGAAATATGTAGAAAATTTCAACCCAGGAACTTCATAAATTCAAAGGAATCCCTTACAACTTCAAAAAAACAAACAAAAAACACCCATCATCCTTTCCATTCCTCTACCTTGCACCTTCCCCTTCCGGTAGAACCCCCTTCTACTAGTAAGTCTCCCTTTCTCCTTATGTTTCTTTAATACTGTCCTCTATTCAGGCTTCTCTCTGCCCACAACACCAGCATCATGAGTCTCTCCTGGTCTCCAAGCTGCGTTTTACCTGCTTCGGGGACTAGAGCAAGTCACTCAGGAGCCACATGGACTGAGGTGCTGTCAGAAGCATCTGCCTTTTATATGGGGTCAACTCCCTGCCTGGGTACCAGGAGCTCAGACCATGTGCAGGATGCTGATAGCATATTTCACAGGGGACATGGGTGACTCCTCTCCTCTCACATCCTAAGGACCCACTTCTTCCCTCCATAAGCATGCCAAGTATTGACCCACAGGAACATCCCATGAGAGGCACAGGCCTCCAGGATGCTGATGGAGCTCAGCAGATTGCACACAGTGCCTGCCAATCACATAGGCAGCTCTGCTATGCTCCCTGTTTCCTGAGCTGGGTCAGGAGGGTTCTAGACCTCTGAGACTAAGAGAATGTCTCTCTTCTCCTTAGTACAGGATATGGAGGGAGCCATTCCCAAGATGG